TGCTGGCCTGTGGAAGACTGCCCTTTACTAACCAACACCATGGCCTGCAGTCTGATCCCACTTGGTATTTGCAGCTCACCTGCTGGGTGTGAGGAGTTGTCCTTACTGGAGTCTGAGCTTTTCCCAAGTTCAGTGGCCGGAATACCCAGAGCCAGCCTGCTAGGACTCCTAGACTGTGTGCTAGGAGTCCTGAGGAAGGCAATATTGAAATTTCCAACCAGGTGCCAGAGCCAAAAGGGCCCCCATGGGCTTCTGGAGGCTTTTTTTTTTTTTAATTTTATTTATTTATTTAACTGACACAGAGAGAGAGAGACAGCTAGAGAAAGAACACAAGCAGGAGGAGTGGGAGAAGGAGAAACAGGCTTCCCGCCAAGCAGGGAGCCCGATGCGGGGCTCGATCCCAAGACCCTGGGATCATGACCTGAGCTGAAGGCAGCTGCCCAACCAACTGAGCCACCCAGGTGCCCCTTCTGGAGGCTTCTGTAGAGCAAAGGCTATAGGGCCCAACGTGGCAGTTGCTGGTCCAGTGTCCTGTGTGGGAGGAAGCCATGAGTTATGTGGCTCTACCGTGGCCGACAAAACCTCAGGGCCAGGGAGGCATTCTGGCCGGTCTCCTCAGCTATCCAATAATGATTCATTTACTGAACACCCACTCTGGGCCTTTTGGGGCTAAACTATCTCATAGAACCATAGATTACTCAGCCCCACCTGTTTGAGAGGTCAACGTGTCTATTCTAACAGAGATTGATGGTGTCACTAGCTCAATTACTACAATGGTCAGCAGCTAAGAGGCAAAGATTCTGGCTTTCCAATCAGACCATTTCCTGTTTAATAGCTCAAATTTATTGTCAGCTGGAGTGATCACATGCTGACAGGCACTCAGAGCCTCCATCCATCTTGGTGTTGATTTTGTAACACCTTAGCTGCCTGTGGCATGCTCAGGCTTAAGGGTGTGATGAATACCCTGTGGACACATGGCTGGGACCGATAATCTCTTGGGCACACTCACACCCACAGCCACAAATCCAGTCACTCAGCTGCCATCCCCCCAGGGAGCGGCCATGCTTTAGTACAACCAGAACGGTCAGGGAAGCCTTTTTAGAGCAAAACGGAGACCTAGACACACCCTGTAGAAGGCTGTCTGCCATTCCCTGCTGCCCGAGTAACCTCCCCTATTCTACTCTGGGCTTCTCTGCCCAAGATCACAAACCTGGGAGGGCGGCCCTCTCTTTCTGCATTTGCTTCTTCTCTCCCTCCATGTTCCCTGTGGAGGAGGCGAACTGTGCAGAGGGTCAGCATGCACCAGGGTCCGTGTGGACTTGCAGGCACAACCCAGGAGCATGCTGCAGACACAGGAAAGACATTTCTAGTGCCATTACTCGCTTCGGTTTGGCACAGGTTCCCTTCCATGGTCACCTCTGTTCAAATAGGAACTCTTCTCTCTCTCCACAGTCCTTTCGGCTGGAGCCCCAGATCCATCTTTGGTTTGCTGTCAGTGTTCTCTGGTTGCAACCACTCAGAGCCTGGCATGGCGACTCTCCTTCAGAGGGTTCAGTTGCTGCTCCTGTCTGCTTCCTGGCCCACTTAGGCTCCCCTGTTCCTCAGACGCGAGCTGACATTTGTGAACACAGGGTTTCTCTCAAAACCTGAGTCCCTTGGTAAGTCTACTGTCTGTCACTGCAGCCTCCCTGACCAGTGGTGACCATAGGCCTCAGTCTGAGTGGCTTTTCAGACACAAGTTAGCAAGAACCTTGGCATCCCTAAAGCCCAGTTTCATCTTTGTCACAATGGAACAAGCCAGTCTGGAGTTTTCTCAGGACACACACGACCTTGTGGGAGGGCAGTTTTTCTCATGCCTTGAGAGTGAGCATGGGCCTTCCTCCTATAAAAACCTCTAATGATGATGGTTGGTGCGATTTAGTCAATTCTTTTGACTGGCTTGTAAGAGACATTTTAGGACTTTTAGGAATTGAGTTGAGGATCCTTAATAAAACCGTCTCCTGCCACTTTGAGAAATCTTATCTGCTACTAGCCAATTTGTAAACCAATCTGTTCGTTTCCAAAAAATTTATTACACATTAGAATCAGAAGTGAGTTCTGAGATGGACCACACAGTCAGGGTGGCACATTTTCAAAGTACGATGGCAAGAGCTTGCAAGACAACCAAAATACCCCATATCAAGACAAGGGCCAAAAGAATTTTTTGAAGAGAATTTCCTTCAAGAAAGCTGGCAGTTTGCGTTAAGTCTGCCTTATCCTCTTCACTGGAGGCAATGTGTGTGTGGAGGTCCTTCTCCCCCCCTTAAAGATCTTGAGGGGGTTTGAAGACCACTCAGAAAGATTGGTTAGAATCCTCGGAAATCTGTGCATGTGTGTGGGGTGTATGTTGTGTGTGTGTGTGTGTGTGTGTGTGTGTGTGTGTGTGTGTGTGTGTGT